CCCCAAAACCCCAAAACCCCATTATGCTCATTTTATTGAAATTGTTATGAAATTAAGAATTAAAATTCATTAGAATTGTTGTTACTTAGGTATCCCAAGAGATAAGTCTATGGCATTTTCTTATGCTAATAATCTTTCATAATCTGAAACTTTGGAGCAATTCTTTAATATAGAAATTGCTAAGCTTTTGATTCTTTAAAAAATCAGGAAGTATATAAATTACCTATCGTTTTTAGTCTATCTTGCCACTCCAATAATAACTTTCAAATACTCAAGAAATAGCAGAATAATCATCTCAGTTCTTCTAGTGAAATTTCTTAGACCCTACATCATTGATTAATTTTTAAATTAATTACTGATAAAACCTCTTGGCTGATTGCTTCGCTATATTAATGACTTTAAAGAGTTTCAACTAATATATTTCCAATATCTTTCCTCTTGGTAACAACAAATTCTAAATTTTATTCTTCTCTCATGCAAATTCTAAATATTTTACAAGCATTCGCCAGAATTTCTTCATCTCTGACAGTTCTAAGAATAGAAATCATAATTTCTATGAAATTTTCTATTGATAGTGCTTTTGAAATCCCTTACTCATGTCTTAAGCAACTTGTCATACATCTTACACAATATTTTATATAGACTGGTGGTTTATCTATTACTACATTAGAAGTTATGAATCTTAGCATAAGTTAGAATCCATTAAAATTTAGACATTTTTCCAAATTCTAATCATTGATAAGCAAAGGTTCCAAAATTGAAAACATAACTGTAACTTTTTGAGTCAGTTCATCATCCTTTGGTAGATCCACAACTTATTCAAGTATCAAAAGTAGTGTTTAGATAACATTAGAGCTATGCTTGGCAAAAATATATGCATTTTTTAAAGTAGCATTGTCAGTTTAGTAAATTTCTTTGAAAGCCAATATGCAATCTTAAATTGGTGCAGCTGATAAGAAATCAGCATTTCTAGATAGCCAGTCCATGACGCTCATCTTTTCCTTTAGATTAATATCAGAATTTCTTAGTTTCTTTGCCTTATTCACTGCATGCTCATCAATAAATTTCTGCATAAAAGAGTAGAGATTATTTGTTTCTTCAACTAATGCCTCTACTTTGGCTTATGCATCTGATGCCCAATGAATCTTTTGCTTCAAATTTGTCAAAGCCCTTTTCTCGTTTTTCATTTCTATTACCTCTGTTGCAATTCCATCTAATTTTTAATTCATAGCCTAAATATCTCTAATATTGTCCTCTGTCACCTTAAGCACTTCATCCTTCCCTATATATATTAAGAAAGAGAAATAAAACCTTACATACTACAAGCTGAGTTTCTACTTCCCTTGTTTTGTTGAAACTGTCGTTTGCTACTTTCTTAAATATAGTATCAAGATTATCTATTTTTCCTGAGGCTATTTCTTTGAAAGTGAGATGCTCAACTCTAAAGACATCAACATCTCCTTAAAGCTTTTTTATGCTGTGTTCAAAAGATTAAAAATCAAATTTAGCATCCAGAGCTTCAAAAGTTTTAGTAATAAAATCGTTTTCAAGTCTTTGAAGTCTTATCATTAAATTCTTTTTAAATTCCTCCTACGAATCCATAAAAGATTTTTGTCTTCTGCTCATACTTTCTATTATGCTAATTTAATCATGCATGGTCTCTTCAATCTTGTCCATTCGCCTAGAATCAATTGTATATCTATTTTCTAAAATCTATGCTGTTCTTAGATGCATATCACTGTTTCTTTCTATGTTTTCAATTCTAGTGATCTAAAATTATAAATTGAAATTGTATACAATTTTGTTATTTAGATTGAATTCTAGATCTATTATCTTATTTTCAATTAGTTTACTCATTGCAACCTTAACTTCATTTATCATATCAAGAGCAGCCATACTATCGAGCTTTGTCTACTATTTCTAAGCTGGCAAAGGAGCGGAATATTCTTTAAGTCTCAACAACTCAATATTAATTTTTTAAAGATCCTTCTAATAATCCTACTTTTTAAGTTACTCTTCTCTCTTCATTTATTCATATTTCTAGAACAATTCTTAAATAGAAGATGAAATAGTATTCTAAAACATTATTGAGAAAAGCTATTTTACTTGTTAACCACTAAGATTCATTTGAATTTCAGCCATTTAATTTGCTAAATCTTCTACATCAGACCAAGTTCTGAATAGCTCTGCTCTTTTAATTTTTGAGATAATATTTGGATCATCTGAAAAATCTGTGTAATCAAGGTCTTTATTGTACCTCAATAAAAAGCTAATAAAGTCTAAGCAAATATCATTTAGCTCTTAATTTTCAGCTATTATAGACATCAAAATTTTGAATAAGTTACTAAAAACATAATCAACCAGTTTCATTTTTCTAACTATTACTCTGTTTACTTTGAATCTTCCAAAAACCTTTGGATCTACATTATATTTATTTTATTTCAATATGACTTACCACTTTTTAAAAACTAAAAAAATATTTTCAGGGATTTATTAGAGTATTCTCCTCAGTTCAGACTAATCATATGGACACAAATTGCTAAGAATGCATCAATTACTACTAAACTTGCTTGGTCGGGAAGTTAATCACTTATCTCTGCCAGTCTAAAGAATAGTTCCTTTAAAGTTAATTTTTCAAAATTACTTCTAATTCATCAGATACTGTGTCTGTCTCTAAATTTTTAGAGTAGGCTATAATACAATCCAAAAAAGCACTAGTTGTTTCGGAATCCATTAACTTATAAATATTTATTAAATCCTATCTTTTGATAATTATATTCTTAATATTTGCATATGTGGGGTTTTGGGGTTTTGGGG